CCACGGCAGGGCATTGGTGCTGCGGCTGCAACCATCTTCCCCAGCAGCTCCTGCTGCTCCACTGGGACTCCAGCAGCTCCACGACAGCCGGGGGCCTTTGCCTGCCTTTCTTTTTCTTTCCTTCCCCAGAGGGCCCCTGAATACCGCAAGCATTCACTCAACTTAAATGCATTTTAATTAACATAGTACAAACACGCCGAGTTTGTGCGTGCACAAGGGAGCGCATTCATTCAGCTTCTGCCTGATTCTCAGCCTGAGACATCCAGCGGGAGCGTTGGCAGCGGCTGCAATGGGAACAGGATTGCAGTCCTCTTTGTCTGTCCAATATTTAAAATACACAAAATGCGCACAAGCCCTCAGATCCTACTTACTTCTCTTTAAGCACCATTTATGTAAAAGATACAGCTCAGACACGGTAGGTGGGACAAGTGCTTTTATATCTGCTAATGTGACTGTGGGTAATTAGTCACCACTAAAGCACACAGCCACCGCCACATCATTACAGGGTAAGCACAAGCCACTTGTGACATTAAAAAAAAAAAAAAAAAAAAAAAAAAGGTATTTCCCCAAGATCTCCCACAGAATTTTTTCTTGGATTACATTAGTAATTATCACATAACCCAAATAACACCTAATACAATGATTAAAATAACTATGAAATTTAAATGCAAAGAAATTGTCTGCTTCAGAGAGAACAACCTCCCCAAATTCCGGCAACTCTGCAAGACAAAACTGCTTAAACAAAAAGTCCCTGGAAAAAATAGTTGTGAAATAAAGAAAACCAGCATCTCATGGGGAGCACCTGAGGTGGCCATGCTGGGGTGTAGGTGTCCCCATCAACCAGGCAGGAGCAAACCCAACATTTCAGAGCTGCTTTGCCCCACTGCTTCAAGGTGACTGCAATGCAGGAAGATGTGATTAAAGAAACTACCCTATTTTAGCCAATATGCATAGGTCTATTAAGTGGAAACTGCATGCAGTTTATTTTTCATTGATGAAAATAGCAGGTTCTCAAGCAACACGATAACCTTGTCAAGCAGACAGGAGAATTCAGCTTGTGTAAGACAGCTGAAATGGTAATTATTTAAACTTGAAAGTACTGCAGATGAGGGGAATGGCATTGCAGTTGTAGGGAGAGGCAGGGACTGCACTGAGGCTGGCTGGGCCCATAGGGTGGATGCCACATTTTGTCCAGAGCCAAAACAGACTAGACCTGGGAATAGGGACCACGTTCTGGGGTCTGTGGTGGTCACATACGTAAAGGTCATCGCGTCAAAGAATTCATCTAAAGTGCTCTCTTACACAAGCCTCCCTTAAACTAATGGTTCTATTTTCCTAATTGCCCATGGCTAAACTAAGTAATAAAACACATATGTTATTAAACCAAGTGCTTTCAGATATCAGTTTACAGGCAGGAAAACCAAACTTTCAATAACTAAAGTCTATACAAGAACCTTTTTACTTCTATGTACTATGTATAAAAAAACACAGCCTAAGCTTAAGCTAGTATCACCTGCCACAGACAATCCTTCATCTGTTGTAGTTCATGCACATTTCACACAAACGGCTTCATATAGGTTGCTGAGCACGTACGGCATTGCCGCCAGGCACGCTCGGGAGTGGAGAGGCACGCGAACACCAAACGTCCACCTTCTCAAACCTGTTCTTTTTGAACCAAGTCCTGGATTGCACAATTTAAATTAAACATGATAAAAATAAAAAGCTAAATGAAATCAGCCTATCCTTCACACATGCTGAGCACCC